TCCAATATGTGGATGCTAGCACATAATAAGGGTGGGGAGGGATAAAAGTTTATTGGATAAGACAAAGGGGAATGAAGGGAAGGGAGCAGGAATGGGAACAGGAAAGATAGTAGAATGAACAGGACTTAACTTTCCTATGTTCATATATAGATACAAGACCTATGAAACACCACGTCATGTACAAATATAAGAATGGTACCCTAATTAGAATAAGTTATCCTCCATGTATATATAATATGTTAAATTATACTCTAGTGTCATGTATATCTAAAATAAATAAGTAAGTAAAAATAACTGTTAAAAAGACAGCAGGGAAAATTTTTAAAATTATTTCTAAAAGTAACCCAAAAGTTTCTTCAGGGGGATGAAGACTGGGATAAAAACATTTGGGTAATGTCTCCCAGAGAAGAAAAAAGTTCCCAGTAAAATTCTGGAGAATGTAAAAACAAAATGGAGAATTAGTGAATTAATAGCTGATAAGTAGGAGAACATTTCTACTTGGTTAAAGGTATTAAATATTCATGTATACTAAAAAGGAGGTCTCTTTATTCCCAACCCAGAGACAGGAGTGTTATTGCCCAACCCCTAGCACAAGTGATGAAGCTGGGTGGCTGTCCATAACTGAGAGTACTCAGAAATGCCAGGATGGCTCCTCCTCTCCTCTGAAGAGGTTGCCTTGAAGAGCAAAGGCAAGGAGCTGAGATGGCTGTGGGAGCACAGGCAGTGAAAGGAGCCAGGGCTCAGGAAGTGTCTCAAGATGACATCACATATGAGTCTAAATGATGATTGACACAGAGAAGGTAAAGAAGGCAAGGAAAGGGATTCTAACCAACAGGAGGCAGAGTGGGCAAACATTCAGAAGCTGAGGCATGCGTGTTGTGAGAATGAAAGTTAGCTAGGTGCAGTTGGAGCATGGAGCAAGCAGGGAGGAATGAGCACATGTCCACAGGACAGTGAAAGGAGGGGAAAACCAGCTCATGAAGAGCATCTTGTGCCAGTAAAGAAATCTGTCCTTTGTCCTGAGGACAATGGGGAGGAGCCACTGCAGGGTTGAATCAGGGCTGGGAATCATCAGCGTTGTGTTGTAGAAGAATCACCCAGGAAGAAGTACAGAAAGCCTCATTGGAGTGAGCAGGATTGCACGTTGGGAGATGAACTTGGAGACCAAGTGTAGGTGGCCTTAGTAAAGTAGCAGCAGGTAAGCTGGAGAAAAGTTTGCTAGTTACAGGGATATTTAGAAGAGAAATCAAATCTTGGTGAAAGATTAGATTGGGGAGTAGAGAGAGAAAAATAAGTCAGAAATGATGCCTGCCATGACTCTTCCAAGCAGTAGCTTGGACAATTGCTTAAATGATATTGGCTTTGATTAAACCAAGGAACACAGTAGGAAGATGGATATGTCAGAAAAGATGATGTGTGTCAGATTAAATATTTTTAGATAAGTTGCCTTGGGATATCCAAGAAGAGACATTTGATGGGTGGTTGGATATTTGACCTGGAACTCATCAGAGAGTAATGAGCAGGATATAAGGACACATATTTGGAAGTCCTCAGTACTGGATAGTAACTGGAGCTCTAAAAGAAGGATGGTATCATCCAAGGGAATTCAGACAGATTTCTGGAAGAGCTCAGATATTTAAGGGACAAGTACAGGAAGAGATCCGACCAGAATAGAGGTAGAAAAATCAAGAGAATAGAGTGTTTGGGAAATAAAAGGAAGAGAACAAAATGAGGAAGAAATGGTCAAATGATGTAAAATGCAGAAATGATCCCTGGGAGTTTTATGGTGGGTTGAGTTTCAGTAGAATGGGGACTGGAAGAATGTATATTGTGTTGGGCTGAGAAGTTAGAAACTGGAGACTTACAGTGTTGGAGCTTCTTCTCCAAGACCTTGTTCTTACTCTTGGAAAGGATGCACATGTCTTTTGTCATACCATGTATTCTGATTTGGGGGTTGAGAGTATGGTCACCATACTTCTGGGCAGTGTGTGAATTCAAAGAATTAAGTAATTTGTAGAAATGAAGAGTAGAAGAGATTCCACGGGTGCTGTCTGCATTTAAGATAGTAAGCAACATATTCTGAAAAAAAAAAAAAAAATCTTCCCTGACTCTTGGGTATTTTAAAATCTAAAGATGTATGTCTTGTGATGACAAAGGCAAGTGAACTATTTCTCAATCACTGCCATTTTATAGTGATGAGGGCTCTGTATTTATTTTATTTGTTTGTTTGTTTGCTTATTCATTTATTGCATTGCTGACGATCAAGCCTGTGTTCTATATTTAATCTTCCTAGCAGCTTGAAAGATAGAGAGTATTAGCCTAACTGCAAAAGAGTAAACTAGACTCAGGTTGATGGGCCTGCTCATCCAGCTGGTACATGATGAAGTCACTTCATGGTTGTTGCAAGTGTTTTTTCCATCATACCCCAGTGGGACTTGGACAGACAGAACTCTCTCTGAGATCAGATATATGAGCCTGGAGTTCATGAGAGGGAGGGAGAACGATTCAATTGGGATCACAATTAATATGTGATTCCCTAGTTGGAGAAGGGCAGACTGCCATTTGAAAGGGAATTGATAAAACATACAAAATGAAACAAAGTCAGAACCAAAAAAAGCATCATGCAAGGTTAAAATTATGTGAATAATGATGTGCATTAGTTATTTTAATGTCTTCCAAGTGCATTTCATTTTGAATGATATACTCAGATAGCACACATGGTAAGGTATAATTGAAAAAACATGTAGGGGAATGGCTGAATCCAAAGAATAAACACACAGCTGGGAGGAGGTTAGGAGTCAAAGGGGTAAGCATATGCCCCATCCCCCAGGGATCTCATTAGTGCGTGAGTGACCATATATGTAGAGGCTAAATGAATCTCACTGTTTGCAAAGGCCCACAGTAAATGAGACAATGACGAATCAATAGTAATTAGGCCTATAGGTTCTTATTGACCCAGATGTCTGAAACCAGATGCCCTGCTCTGAGATTCCTTGAGAGGCAGAATGAAAAGATTTATAGACATGCACTTCTTTTAAAAAAATAAAATAAAAGTCCCTTTACTCTAAAAGCGTTGACACTGTTCTGAAATGGAAAGTGGCTGGAGTTAGGGTAAACACTTGGCTTCTGGCTAGAAAGGATGTTCCAGTCTTCTGTTGTGAATGTGGTTCCTGGGAGCTGGGAGATGGAAACCCAGGACGTGATCATATTCTGCCTCCATATATTGCTCTGGCCCACCTGCCACAGAAGCCTCAAGAATCCTTTCCTAAAACCATAATGGCATATTTTAAAATAAGGCTTGAGTGGGGAGGCTTTGCCAAATAATTCTGAACCTAAGATACAGGAAGCACTTGACTTCAGAATCATACCAAGAAAGATTTTCGTTTGGATTTGGTCCTGTCTCTCCACTTCTCTGAATGTCCTCTCTATAGAGGGGGATTGGTGATGCCTCTCTCCCGGGACCATGGGTGGAAGCCTGGTGCAGATTCAGGGAACAGCAGCTGCTGCCCTGTGGGTGTTGAGCCTTGTCCTGGTCAGATGTCACTCCTCCTGATGTGTTTGGAGGCAGAGGTGTTATAGCAAGAAGCAAAGAGATTGGTGTTAGGTGGGGCTGCCTTTGCCTCCGCCCAGCACACATCATACATACACATTTTTGAGTTGATACACACCCACTGGTACACATGCAGGGGCAGTTTTGCTTTTCTACATCTCTGTATTTGGTTTTAGTGATAAAGGGGGGAGGGGGTTGAAAAGCAAGACTCCACCTATTAGTTTGTTTCCTTACACTTAGTTTAGAAAACTTACAGGAACTTCATGGGATCCATGGGGACTCCTGGTATCACAAAACTAGAACTAGAAATCGCTGAGCCTTACTTCTAAAACATTTTACAAATGCAAGTCATAAATATTGTCTGAAGTGTCTTAGATATTAACCTCCTTTGGACATTGATTTCCTATACATTTTTCTGACATTATTCAAGCCAGGTTTTAAACCTTTATAGCTGTAGTTCCAAGGACACCAGTGGGAAGTGGCAGAGATGCCAAACTGATGTTTCCACTTTCTTGTGGGATCAGTGGTTCAGCACTTTGGAAGGCAGCCCCTCTAGAGAGGGCCCAGCTAGCCAGCTTTCATCCTTGTGCCATGCAGTAAGATTTAGCCCAGTGAAGGAGGGATCCTTATACCTCTTTTGTGAATGGGGAATTACAGTTCAGAGAGGCCAAGTCTTACTTCCCAGCTGGGACAAGAGGAAACAAGACCTAAACCCAGCTCTGGCTTGACTTCCAAGACTATAGTCTTTCCTCTGCTGTCCTCTCAACTGAAAGTATGAAGAATGAGGGGGTTGGTCTGATTCCCTCATGAAGAAATCAAGGCTTAAAAAGGGGAAAGAATTCTCACCATGTCATTTAATGGTTACAGTTGGAAATCAGGTCTCGTTCTCCTGATCCTAACTGCATTCATGACTTTCAGTCACTTTCTCAGCAAATTCCCATATTGAGACCAGGAACATGTATTTGTGTTCATTTGTCATTTCATCATTATTATTATTACAATTACAAAGACTGATTTTAATAAATCCTTTACATATGTACCATATTGTAGAGTTTACAGAATGCAGCCTTTGCATATATAATCTTCTTTGATCTTCAGAATAACCCTATGAGGTAAGTTGGACAGGGATTGTGATATCTGTTTTCACAGATGAGTTCCAAAGGTCTGAAAAGCTTTCTCATGGTTATACACCTATCAGAAGTAAAACCATTCCTAGATCTGGCCTTCTGATTCTAACTCTTCCTGCTTGCCTCCAGGACAGATTGCCCTTTCTTGATGAAAGTACAGTGTGATCTGAGAGCATGGTAGGCTAGTTTCTTTTCAGAGGTTTTGGGAATCTGCTTTACTTTCTTGGGTCTGATATGGAAGTACAAATGGTTTCTTTCTACAGAACAATTTGCTCTCCAACCCTGCCCCCCCCCTTTAAAAACAAAATCCATTTCTCTTCCAGATGCCAGAGTATATATGCATATTTGAATAGTCACCTGGATCTGATTAAGAAGGCTGAGCCTGTGGGTTTCCTCACTGTTGATCTGCATGTTTGGCCAGATTTCCATGGCAACCGGTCTCCCTTAGCAGATCTGACACTAAAGGGCATGGTAAGTAACAGCCAGTCCTTGCACCAAGGTGAAGGCAGGCCAAACAACTACAAAGTTTGGAGGAATCAAAGTAGGGAGAAAGAGAAAAAGGACAAATGAAACAGAATAGGCCAAGAGTGCACTGGTTCCTTGCAGATGTGTTTCTGTTGGGGCTCCCTGGGAGGATCTGCTGAAAGTTCTTATTGTTCCCGAGCCAACCTTGATCATATTCTAAGTAGTATTTCCTACATTCAGCTACTGCTGCCTCTTTGTCTGTGGAGTGGCTGAAAGTTATTCCCATGTAATTTTCATAAATTCATGTTTTCCATCTCCATCTCCAGGCCACCTGGTGAGTCAGTGGTAAATGCTACCACCCATGGTCTTGTGTGCCCCAGCTACACATCACCTAGGCTTTGAGTCAGGGTTCTTCAGAGCCTATGCCAATATATTTAGGGTTTTAGATTAAACTTTGGTAAAAATAAATACAATTAATAACTTAGGTTGGAGAATAAATTTCACCCTTACTGGTCATAAAGATCACTTTCAGCATAGAGATTCTGAGCTCTTCTGGACAGTCCAGAATGAACTTGGTGTGTAAGCTCACAACTGCCTAAAAAAGCAGAGAGATAATACCTTGAAGGCCAGGTGGGATCAGGTGGCCAGGTACCATCTGGCCATCAGGAATCATGTTCAAGGATGGTTGAGGAAGGTTAAAGCTAGAGAAGCAGAGCTGAGTTTTGGTTCCCAGGGGCCAGGTAAGAACCATGAATGTCAAACCCATGAAGGTGCCAATAAGTTTGGAAGTAGGTATAAGGGAAATTAAAGTGGGAAGTCAGAGCAATGCATGGCAGATAAACAGTGGCAGCCTGACCCGTGAATCAAGATTGCTGGCTTCAGGAACTTTCACAATACTGTGAGTCTGTGGTTAGTTTCACTGAGATTATTTAAATACTTTTATGATGCCAACAGGAAGATCTGAACTTTATTTTCATAACCTAGTTTATATGATCAACTTCCATAAATAAAAGTGAGACATAGTGAAGAGAAAAGAAAACTGGACAGGGCAAAAGTTTTTGCCTCCAGTCTATAAGGCATGCCCATAAAACACAAAAGAAACTGGATCGCTTTATTGACCAGTGGAGGCAGAAAAAGATAGCTTTGTAGCAACAGGTTCAGTTATGACCAATTCCACTTACAAACAGAGGATGGGGAAAGAATGGTTTAATATAGTACAAAAATAATGCCTTAATTAGAGACAAATATCAAAAAACAAATACAGATAAACATTTAAAGTGTTAAAGAAGTTAAGAAGCTTGACCAGTTCTTAGTATGACTCCAAAACATAGAAGGGTTGCACATAAAATTATCAGGGCTCTGGAGTGACACTGGCCTGGGGGTCTGCCCTTGCCAACATCCATTGTACCCAGACTTAGTACCCAAGTTTCCCAGTAGTTTTTGTGTGTTTCTGAAAACCAAGCATGACATCTGGAGACCTAAGAATTAGCATTTTAAGGGTATTCTAATGAAGCTGACCCAATGCAAAGTGAAATTCCACAGGAGTCAGAGTATTTCCAGGAATGTCTGTCTCATTAGAATAAATATATACTGCCAAAAGGGACTTCTTGCATTGGGACATATGGCCAATTATATCTAGAAATCTTGTAATGTTTACTTTGTAGAGAAGTTATATTGCCTCGCAAATGTATCTCACATGTCTCCTGATGTTCTTAGCAGCAATTTCCCTCTATAACTATCCTTGGGGTTAGGCTCACCCTGCAGTAGCTATCTTTAAGCCAGGCTGCATCACAACACTAGAAGAAGGTGACCTAGATATGATAGAAGGAAGGCAATTCTGGGCTAAAGCTTTTTCCAAAATCTTTCTTTCAATCCAATTTTGAACAATATTGAAATACCCCCCTCCAAAACTTTTCTATAATCATCTTATATTCTTTTGGCAAAACCTAAAATGTTATTACAAATTATATGCTAGAACCTCTCTGTTATCATATGTTGTATCTTTCTGCCAGTCCTGTCTTCAGGGCTCATTCAATAAATATTTACTGGATGTCTGCAGTGTGCCAAGCTCTGTTGCAGATAAAATAAGGTATAATTTCTATACTCATTGCACAGGTTTAAAGGGGTTAGGAAGTACTCCATGAAACACTGAGAGCAACTAGAATTGTCAGAAAAACCCCAGGAGGGAAGAACCATATACAGTTTCTTCTTTTGGCTCCTGAGTCATTTCTCTAGGCACATAGTAAGTGCTTAATGATAATTTATTGTCAACATGGAGAGAATAAAGAGGCCATTATGGCTCTAGAAAAAATAAACATATGAACAATTTATTAATACCAAATGGATTTGATAGCTACTGATTCATGCTGTTTATATAAGTGGTTAGTACTAATATTAATATCCAAGTAAATTAAGTTCCCATTTTGTCATACTTTGTCCATCAAACAAATGCAGGCCCTATTATAGTTGGTGGGAGATATAAAAGTAACTAGACTTACAGCACTCAGGAACATTTGGGGGACAAACAGGTAGTGGGAAGATGGGGTCAAGTTCCTGGTATCACTCATTGCCAGGGCTCTGTAGATGCATGGAAGAAGATTAGATCTGGTGTTCATGGTCAGGAAAGGCTTCTTATAGGAAGCAAGGTTAACCCTGAGTCAAGGAGGGAAGAGGATTCAGGGGCCAAGGAAACATGGTATATACAGTGTCCTAGAAGGAGAGAGAGCACGAATGTATGAATAGCCACAATTTGGCTCCTCATTTGTCTAACCCATGATAGATTACAGTTAGCATATTTTTTCTTGGGGAAAAATGAAAGAAAGTGTGTTCCCAGAGACACTCTGGAGTCCCTGGGCTCTTCTGCTTCCACAGCATCCTATCCTCCCAGTTCATTACTCTTTCATCCATTGACTCTCCCCAAACCTTTGTTAAACATCCATCCATTCACTTTTTAATGAATACCTAATATTTACAAGTCTATGCTAAGCTCAGAAAATGGAAAGAAGAAAAGTATCTGTCCTAAGTTCATATGAAAATGTGCAAAATCATTACTGTACATGTATGAGTGGGTGTGTCCATCACCATTCCATAGTGAGAGCCTTGCAGCATGGACATGTGGGCAAGCCAAAGGAATGGCTTAGCCAATCTCTCACTTTGTTGTTGTTGGGGTTTTTTTTGTTTGTTTGTTTGTTTTGTTTTGTTTTTTTAAAGGGCACCTCTCTGGTGAGCTGACACAGCTTTTCTCTACTTGAAAATACCAGTGAAGAAGTAAAAGTGGCATAAACTTATGGAGGGTTTGAAAATTAAAATGATACTCAACTAGGCAAACTAGGTTTGAGATTCCCAAAAAGAATCTGGGAAGATCTTTGAGAATCTGGAAGACTATTCAGCTTGATTGATAAACATGCTATAGGACATAGGAACAAAGTCTCTCTCCACCTTCTGCTCCCTAGCTGCAAGCACACAGCTGTTTTAAGCCTAAAAACAGGACAGTTACCCTTCTTCTCTACTGCCCTTGGTTATGTTGTATTGTTTTGTTTTGTATTGATTTTTAGAAGCAGACAGTGAGTTTAATTTCCTAGATTCCCCCCACAACTTGAAACATTCCCTATCTTCCTTTCAGTTCAATCTGTTTGAAAGCTGCCAAAGGGCCGGAAGTATGAGTCAGAATCAACGCAAGGACTTGCATTCTAAGCCTCCTGCATAAAACTCTGCTTCTGGGGCAGACACAGGAAAAGCCTTGACAGCTCTGTGAATTTGGAAGAAGGATTGTTCTAAGGTTAGGAAGTCAGTTAACAGTGACCTTCCTCAATCCTATAAAGCTACACAGATAAAAAACCATTGCACTCTGGTCACTGGCATCTAGTTGGAGATCCAAAGAAGCAAATCAAGTGTACAGTGAATGGGGCTGAGAGTGAATCATGTGTCCTGTGTTCTGGGAAATATTGAATAGGCCTAGCTCCTAATTGGGGTGTATTTTAAAAAATAATAAAGTGAGCCCCACAGGGAAAAGCATTGCATACAAAGAAGAAAGAAATACCATTTAAAACACTTACAAAAAGTTCTCTTGAAACTTATTACTGAAAACAAAAGAAAATATTGGAGAACTTCTTGGTATATTCTAGAGGTTTTTTTAAAAGGCATATCTCTCTAAAATAGGGTAGGGCCTAAACTTACAGGAAAAGTTGAGTTAAGATGAAAAGACAACACAGTGAGAGGGTCAAGAAATGACAAAGACATAAAACAAGTAAAAATGCAATAAACAAATCAAAACCTACATTGAAAGCAATATGAACCATAATTTTCATGGATGAAAAGAAGATCAGAGTTGTCATAAGGCATAGCATTTTTTAAAATTTAATATATTAGAAAAACATTTTGAGGGTAGAGTCTATGGCTTATTTGTTGTTGTTTTTTTTAATCTCAACAGCACCTGACATCAAATAATTGCCTTTCAGTCGGTTATTACAATCATTTACCAAGTGAATAATGAAAGCTGCTGCCCAAGGTCACAATGCAAAGGAGAGGCAGAGCTTCAATAGAAATATGAATCCTGATTTTTAGGATGCACAGCTTCATGAGTCTGCCTGAACTCATAACTCTGGACTTTGCAGAATGCAACTAGGATGATAAAAGGAGTTCCAACAGATGCACCACACATAGTTTGATACTGAACCACACTTCTTGACCTTGCTCCTTTGGTCTCATCATCAGCTCGTCACTTTTCCACCCATTTTTATTCTAACCCTGGTCTTAGCTGTGGTTTCCTCCTGGGAATGTCTCTAGGCTTTCTTCCCAACTTCACTGACTCAGATTTGAAGTTATTTGCCACTCCAGATTTGACCCTACTCTGAGGTCTTCCACTCTGATGCCTACCCTCATACACAAACACAGGACCCAACCCAAAAATCTTCCCCCTAAATAGAATTTTTTCCTTCTGGCAACAGTTGTCTTCCTGTGTCACCAGCTTTTTGGTTTTCCTTTGGTGATAACAGTATCAACCTGTA